CCACCCCCCGCCCCCGGTGGTGCAAGAATAAATAACGTTCTCTGAGACACTAAGACGGCCGGGCCTGACTGGGTGCTCGGACTCCGGACCTCCTCGGGTCTCCTGAGCAGTCACAGGCGCAGCGTCCCACGGCCAGGCTGACTGTCCACCTCTCCCGTGCAGTCCCGGTCACCCTCCCGATGGTTCCGGGCCGTGTTTTCCTTTCTTTGTTGTTTGTTGTTTTGTTGTTGTTTGGTTGGTTGGTTTTTGATGCAGGATCTCACTGTGTAGCTAAGACTGGTCTCAAACACATGGTGATCCTCCTGCCTCAGCCTCCTGAGTGCTAGGATCACAGGTGTGCACAACAACCCTGGCTCAGTGTTTTCCTTCTAACAGATGAATCACCGGGGCCATGGTGACAGGCAGGCAGCCAGGTGGGGACCTGAGGAGGGAGCCAGGTGCTCCTGAGTGGCCCCCGGGAATCTTTAGGGATCCATGAGGAATCCACCTGGCCATTTCGATGCCCTCAGAGATGGCTGGAAAGCCTGTGGGCACCAGAGCTGCATCTCCAGGTCTGCAGGACCCGACTGTGGGATGAAGGCCTCCACCCCTCCACTCCTGTCATCCCAGCCTCTGTGCTGACCCTTCTAATAACAAGCCTGCCCGCCCACTGGAGCCCTGGAAAAGCTCCTGGAACTCACTGGCTTAAAAGGCTCTGGCACTAAAACTAAACTAAAGAAACCCAAAGGAAAATGCAGGGAGAAAGACTGAGATGCAAGAACACTCTTGGCCAAAAACTCCCTTCCAAAGTCACTCAGCATGAATTAAAAGAAGTGTGTGAAGATGTCAGAGATCAGATGAGCTGACAAGGATGGGGCAAGTACAGGGATTGCTTCAACTGAATTAAAGGTGGAAGCAGATGCAGAGAAAACCTCTGAAAGAAAGCAGGGAACAGACATTGATGGCGCTGTTTCCCTCTGCTACACGAGGGAGGAAGGTCAGAATCAAGACTACAGAAGTGGGAAGAACACCACCTGGAGTCATGCATCGAGACTCTGTATTAAAAAAAATAAATAAATAAGCTGGGTGCAGTGGCGCACACCTGTAATCCCAGCACTCAGGAGGCTGAGGCAGGAGGATCAGCTGCAAGTTTGAGGCCAGCCTGGGCTACATAGGGAGTTCAAGACCAGCCTGAACTACATAACGAGACCCTGCCTCAAAAAGACAAAAAAAAGGAACCTATGTATTTAAGCAACCTCTCCTACAGTGCAAGAGGAGAAACTCTTCAGGAAGTACCTGAGAAGACAACTTTTATCCAAGTGCCCCAGAACCAAAATGGCAAGTCTAAGGCCACCCGTTCATACCGTTCACTCCATTTGAAGACACTAAGAAGCTTTAACCTCCTGCAGTGAAAGGGAAACTGAGGGCAGACGGTCGGACTGGAGCTGCAAAGCCAGTCACCCCAAACCCTGTTTGTCAGGGCTCCGTCCAAGGAACCCACTGGAGAGACTGTAAAGGAATCCCTTGACGGCTCTTTGGAGAAAGGACAATCGCAGAGCCGGAAACCGGCTCTTCCAAGGGGTCGGGTTTTGCAGACGTCAACAGAGAGGAAGGCGCCAAGGGGGCCACGGTCTGTGGAAGACCGTGATGTCGACAGCGGAAACAGTCGCCTTCGCCTGGGCCAAGCCTCAGGGGAAAGGAGGCTTCAGGGGCCAGGGCGGCTTTGGAGAATGAGGTGGCTTCCAAGGAGGCAGGGAGGAGAAGCCCACAAGCCACAGGGAAAGAAGAGGATGTCTGAGTCCCTTCTGTCCCCGTCTGTCCCTGTTCCGCTGGAAGGAAAGGACTCTGGGGTTTTACTCTCACCCTTCTGAGGCCGTTCCAAGACAGTGCGTATCCTGGGGTCCACTTGGAGAGCCCAGAGACAACATTTCAGGAGAGATATATCCAATACACCCTCTGGAGCTTTGTTCTTGTTGTTGTTGTCTGAGGGTTTTTTGGTTTGTTTGTTTTTTTTTTTCTTTAATTTTTTAGGGGGGCCTTTTGAGGCAGGGTTTTGCTTTGCAGTTCAGGCTGGCCTTGAACTCTTCTTTGAGACGGGGGTCTTGCCACATAGTTCAGACCACCCTTGAACTATGGAGCCCAAGCTGGCCTTGAACTAGTGGCGATCCTCCTGCCTCAGCCTCCCAAGTGCTGAGATTACAGGTGTGCACCGCGAATGCCTGGCTCCTGTTGGTTTTGACTGCGGATTCATAAGCCTTTTAAAGTGATGAGTGATAGAACAAACCC